TCTTGCTCTTTAAACTTCATATTTTCTCTTCCAGTAACTTCCAACTCTAATAGTGGTTGCTTGAAAAAAAAAATGTAAAAGAAGAAGCAAAGAAAATTGACAATTAAATTTAGTTGGCTTTGCTTCTGTAAGAATTTAATTTTTTTTTATGCCTATAGAATACAAATAACTGTTATTAACAAGTATTACCAAGCAACATACTCAATATAGCATACTCATAATCATAGAATCACTAATTGGGTCAAAAAAATGAAAAATTAGCTACAGATGATTTTAATTTCTCATTGATTTTATGGTCAAATGAATAACATTAAAAATAAATAAATAAAGTATAACTTTACTATAGCATTTATATATATAATTTAATATTTACTAAAACTACATTTATATATATAATATAGTAAATCTGCTGACTATTCAAGTTCCAAATGATTCTGCCAGCAACACTGTTGATCTTTACTACTCAATCAAAAAGAATCAGTGCTATTAAACTGCCTAAAATTTATTTTCAAAATGACTGACAAAAATAAAATCAATAACTTTATTACAAATGTTGATTGGATTTATTTGAAACTCTATTGTTTTAGAAAATGTTTTAGATATTCCTCATATAAAATACAGAATGTTCCATGTTAGAAAAAACTAATAAAAAAAGAAGTCTTAGAAATATGAGTTGTACTTGAATGGAATGGTCTAACTTTGTGTAAAGAGTACAATGTAAGCAATTGATGATCTATATACTATAGCGTATATAGATCATCAATTGCTTACTAGTTTTTAGAGCATACACCATTTTAAAAAAAAAGAAGAATAATTTGAAGAATAATAAAAAAGATTGCTGCCCTAGAACAAACCCTCAGTCGATGTAGCAGCACTCCTTGGCAGCAGTTGGCTTTAAGATAGTCGATGTATGTACTGAAGCACCCAGCAGCAGGCTATTTTAGTGTGATGTCAGACATGTTATCTAAACACGCATTTATACTTACATCAACTATATTATATATATAAATAAAATAAAAAAATCTTAGCAAATCAAATAGTTAAAGTATTATTCTGCTTCAAATTGCTTTATTAAATTTAGCTTTAAGAAGCTAAATTTAATAAAGTGATTAAATTTAAATGAACAATGAACTTACAATGAACAATTAGATCAATCGAATTTTAAAAGAGAATTTCAACAAATGAGTTAAAGCCGTGAATATTTGCAAAAATTAAAACAACTTGATGATGATTAATATTTTTAGATGCTGTAGTTTTAAATTATAGAGAGCTTGACTCAATCATAGATAATACACATCACCAAGTTGACACCCGAAGCAATAGGCTATACAGTTGTCTCACTCCTGCTCAATCCAAAGTTGTAACTTCAAAGTTGTGGTTTCTTACGTGGTCTTAAGGATGCGCACCAAAAGTACTAACATTCATGTGCAACATGGCAGTGTTAATACTCTGTATTTACAGTGTTGATGAAATCAGACTCACTGAGAGCTACTATAGAGTTGGGAAAAGGAAGCAGCAGAAAACTTTTGTTTATCAGACTTGCATCCCTTTCTAATTTAATAAACTGATGTAGATGTGAACTTGTGTTACATTGTTCCCTGGCTATGTTGATGAATGCAAGATCTTCTCGGTGTTACTAATGGGTAGTGACTATGTAACTCTTTCTGTAATCTCCTAATGATGGCACAGCTCTAAAGCTCAGTTTAATGGTTTTTGGCCTCAAAACTTTTAGAGTTTTAGAGATGGGCCATCAATAGGAGATTACAGTGAGAGTTACATAGCCACTACCCATTATTAGCATCAAGAAGATCTAGCATTTATCAACCTAGCCAGAGAACAATGTAACACAAGTTCACTCTACATCAGTTTATTAAATGAAGAAAGGATGCAAGTCTCGTAAACAAAAGTTTTCTGCTGCTTCCTTTTCCCAACTCTATAGTAGCTCTCAGTGAGTCTGATTCCATCAACACTGTAAATAAAGAGTATTAACACTGCCATGTTGCACATAAATGTTAGTACTTTTGGTGCGCATCCTTAAGGCCACAAAAGAAACCACAACTTTGAAGTTACAAATTTGGATTGATTTTATTGCAAATCAGGTTTCACTTATTCTAGCCTGGAAAAACAAATTTTAAAAAGCAGTTTCTAGAAGCTTTGAAGGGTAATCTTTTTAAAGATTGTATTACAATAAAAATTAAGTATGTTTTATCTGCAAATCAGGTAATTCCAAAAAGTACATTTGTTAAAGTCAAGTCTTCCATAATGTCATATTTAAATAAGAAAATGGCATTTAGGTAAGCCAATCAAACCACACAAGTGTGGAATCATTGATGTTGAACATAACATAAAAACTTTATATATAAAAGTTATATTCATTATTAAAATATTTTATTTATTTTAAATTTATATATAAAAATTATTATATTTATTATTATATTAATTATTTCATTTTTAATTTTATTACAAGACTAATTGTTATAAAAAAATTTTCTCTTCAAAGCTTCAAGATCACACAGCACACTTGTCAGAAATTAACGAGCGGTTACGCAAAAGCAACTGTGTTTTAGAAGGTATTTTAAGGCATGATGGTTCTGACTCACCTAGTGTTGACAACTGGAGTCAATATAAGCTGAATGAAAATGAGAGTAACGAAAGTGTTAATGAAACATCTTTACTTGACGAACTCAGACTAGATGATTGCTCATCATCTGATGATGTAAGCAACATGGACCAAAAATTAAGCAGCTATATACCAGTCCCACAGGAAAATGATCAAAATGACGAATTACTGGAACAATCTTCAAACCTCACGGAACAAATCACTCCAATTAAAGATCCGAATAGACCTCGTTATACTCTAAAAGAGATGCAGGTTTTGTTAGAGGAGAGAAATTTGTTAAAAATTAAAACAATGGCACTTGAAGAGGAGCTTGAATTACTTAAAAATAGCAGGTGAATTAATTTTTGGTTGCTTTATAAACAAAGTTTATTGATTGATTATTTGGTATGTAAAATAATCAATTAATATATTTGGTATGTAACATTTTAAAATAATTTCAAAAGTTTTAGTTTAAAAATTCAACAAATTATTTTAAACTATTGTTGATAGTATTATTTTTAACTGTATTATAGTTGATGGTATTAATTTTAACTGTATTATTGTTGATGGTATTGTTTTTAACTGTATTATTGTTGATGGTATTGTTTTTGACTGTACTACTTTGAAACTGTACTTTTTAATTGTATTGTTGATGGTATTATTTTAATTATATAAAATATAATGTGTCAGGGTAACAACATCAATTTTTGCCATGTCTAATAACATCTGCCCAACAACATCTGAAATTTCATTAGTGTCTATTAACATCTGTGCAAAAATTAAATGAATATTACAGATGTAGTTACATCTTTTAAATTATCAAAGTGTAACAACATCTGTGCAACAACATCTGTAGATTTAAAGATGAAGTTATTTTTAAGATGAATTAACTAATAATGCATTATTTTAACCAGATGTAGTTGCATACAGGATTTTTTTACAGATGTTATTACATTTGGAAAAAAGTATTACCTAATAATGCATTTTTTTAACCAGATGTTATTGCATATAGAAATTTTTTCAGATGTAATTATATCTGCAAAAAAAATTGACTAGTAATGCATTATTTTAACCAGATGTAAATACAAACAGGATTAATTTCAGATGTAATTACATCTGGAAAAAAATATTAACTAATAATGCATTAATTTAACCAGATGTATTTACACATGGGAATTTTTTCAGATGGATAACTACATCTGGAGAAAATTCTTTCAAATGTTATTAGACTTGGAGAAAAATTACCAGATGTAGTTACATCTTTCTAAGCATGTAGTTACATCTTTCTAAAGTTTTAAATTACTAAATTACATGTAGTTACATCTTTCTAAAGATATTGTTAGGGGTTGTTGAATTTTCAGATGATAATGGACAGATGTTATTGGAGTAAAAGAAAAATACTGATGAACTTGGAATACTCCACAGATGTTGTTGGACAGATGTACTAATTTTTTACCAATATAATTTATACAGAAAATTGAATAACATAAGGTTATGTGGTTGATTGTTACCAAATAATTATAAAATATATAATTTAAAATGGCACTTTTAATATACAAGTACTTATTTTTTCTTGCAATTGATAATAAAAAAGCAGTAGCAATTTTAGCAATAGAAAAAATGTTTTTCAAACATGTTAGCTTAAGACAGGTCAAGTAGTTTATTACTGCAAATAACTTTTAAATGGTAAAAAACTAAAAGACAAATGAAAGAAAAAGAGTAGCTTTAAAAAATTATTTTGAAATCCAAAGAAGCTAGTTTATATAAATGTATATAAACTATAAAACTTTTGTTTATATTTTTATTTTGTTTTGTTTATATAAATGTATGAAATAAAGTTAAGTAAATAATAATTTTTTTAATAAAATAAAAAAAACAAGACAAAGACAATAAAAAATACAAATAAGGAATAAGGTTTAAATCAATTGTGTATTAAAATGATAAAAGACTTTTTGACCTAGGATGAATTTAATAAAGTATTATTTTGAACCCCATTCATTTGACAATTAGCTGAATAATATTGTTAGGCCTGTAATATTGTTAGGCTTGTAATATTGTTAGGTCTGTAATATTAATTTATTCTCTATTGTTATTTATTTGGACTCTCATTATTATTACATTATAGTGTTTTTACTTTCAATATATTTTAGTATATAATTTTTAATATATAATTTTTATTTTATTGTAGCAAGAAAGTACAAAAATAAAATGATTAAATATTTTGATAAATATTTTATATATTTATGTTAAATTTCAAGTCTGTTTCACACATTTTTTCATTGAAAAAAGTGCTCCAATAACTTTGACAGAATAATTAGTTGTAGGAGTTGTTTAGGTTGTACTTTTTTATTCAATTATCTTTTTCTAATGTTTTGAATGATTAGTATTAGATGTTGTTGGTAGACATTCAAATATAAATATAGTGTTGAAATAAAGTTGAAATAAAAATACATAAAGTTTGTCATTTTATATTACTATGGTATATATTAAATTTAATATTATTTTACGGTATATATTATATTATTTATTATAATATTTGATCTAGTTTTGATTATTTTCAGGTTTATGCTTGCATCGGTCAAAACAATTTTATTTACCTATTAGAAAATAAAATTATAATTTTATTATAAATAATGAAACAATAATTTATATTGTAGTAATATTAAAATATTAATATTATATTATTTACAGTATTATTGTTATGTTTGTATTATTATTATTTCATGTTATTTTTAGTTTTACAAACTATATTTATAAAATCATGCTTTACTTTAATTTTTTTATTTATTTATATCCATCATTTTACTTATGTTTTACTTAATTTAGTTCAAAACTTTTATTTAAATTATGATTTTATTTTATTGTTAGTTTAATTATTAAAAAAATAAAAATAAAATTAAAAAAAGGATTAAAAAATACTTTATTTTTATGTTTAAATTTAAAATACTACAATAACTGGAAAAATCTATATTCGTCTGGTTCAAAGAAAATTTGTTAAATATATTTTTTTTTTGTTTTCCAAAAAACAAAACAAGTAAAAAAAAATGGAAACTTGAATCTAGAAGATGAAACACAAAGAATGTTTTCTAGAAAAAAAAATTTAATGTTTACTCACAGAGTGCTTATTCTTTACTAAATGCATCTCATGTGTTTAATTTACTGTTTTCTGCTAATTGATATTGATATTACTGAAATTAAAATATGTCTTTAATATTTTATACAATAATTTGTGTTATATTTTTGTTTACGTTTATTTTATCTTAGTATTTCATTGCCAAGTAATGGTCGAGTCAAAGAAGTTGATAAAAAAGGCGTCAGAAGTTTGTAAGTTTTTTTTTTTTTTTTTGATTTACAGTAAAGTATTACAGCAAGTTTGGAAAAACATTCATTCTTTCTGTAAAAGTAAAAAATACAACTGTTAATAAATACAAATAATAACTATGTAACAATTATACTTGTACAATTTATAAATTATTAATTTACGTACACTTAAGTACAGCTTAGTTTTTTAGAATTTTTTTACGTAAAACAGAGTTTTATAGGAACATCTATGTTTGCATAGAAACGCAAAGTTCATGTGTAGAGCTGTTACCAATCAAATCTTTAGATTTTCTATTATACGTTAAGTTTGTCTAGAGCTGTATATTATCTGAACATCAGTGACGGATCGAGAAATTTTTGGTGGGAGAGGGAGAAGGGGCCTTGAAATATTTTTGCACCACATTCTCCTTTACATATATAAAAAAGGTCCTCAATTTGTAAGATATTTCTTTCAGATTCTGATTGGGGGCGATGCATACACCCCCTCCCCTGGATCTGTCACTGCTGAACATAAAAGTTCTTAGTAACCATCTCACGCATGACCTTACACTTTAACAAAAGAATAAGATTTATTCTTTTGTTTAAGTGTAAAATTTATAGCTTGTTATACTTTAAATATAGATAAAAATTATGGCTTTTATATTTTAAATGTTTCTAAAAACTTTTTGTTTATTTTAAAACACAAAAAGTATTAGCTCAAGTGACAAAATAAAAAAAATGAACATTAAAGTGTATGTGTTAAATGACGTGGCAAAGTGACATCACGAAGTGATGTGTTAGACAACTAACCTAAGAAAAAAATCTCTTATTTAAAACCCCCCAAATTAATAGTGGGTAAAAGTAGAAGGAGGTCGTAAACCTTAAGTCTTCTTAGTGGTTTTATTACAATAGTAATACTCAGTCCTGATCTGCAAAATAGGTTAACGCTGGGAAGAGCATCTAGTTGTAAAAAAATTTCTAAACTTTTTCATAATATTTAAATAAGGAAATAGCATTATGGAAGTCGTCGTTAGTTCTTTTTCTATTTCAGTGTTTTTAGTTGAATTTTTATTGCGTTTTTTTTTTTCGAAATTATGTTCGAAATGCAAATATATTTATCATTGAATTTTTCTTTGTAGGATGTCGAAGTTTTGGTCGAAATGAAGATATATTTATCATTGAATTTTTTCAATGTTCAATTTCAATTTTTGTAGTTATATTTTAATAAAGAACATTATATTCACAAATAATATTTTTGTACATAAAGTGGATTACGGTTATAACATGCTATTTCGTTTATCGACTAATACGTTTTCATAAGATTCAAAATTTTTCTATGAAATTTCAATTTTGTGTTTAATAGTGTATTTATAGATATGTATAAATAAATTTATTTTTATTATGTTAGACTATATTTTTGAGATAATAAGTTTTGTCATTGTTTTTAACAATTTATATTAAATTAAGATTTAATAAACATTACTGTGAATTGTTTCAAATAACTCACCCTGTTCCAAATTCGTGGGGTTTTATTGTAAAAATGGGGTGCACTGCCCTCGGAAGGCTAGGTATAACTATTAGGATCTGTGTATGCATTTATTAATAATAACTCATTAAAATTCGTTTCCCATTGAGTTATTATTATCTCGTTAAAACTCGTTTTGCATTGAGTTATTAACTCACTAAAACTCGTTTCGCATTGAATTATTAATATCTCGTTGAAACTCTTTTTGCATTGAATTAATAATAACTCATTAAAATTTGTTTTGCATTGAGTTATTAATAACTTGTTAAAATTCATTTTGCATTGAGCTATTAATAACTCGTCTAAACTCGTTTTGCTTTGACTTATAACTTATTGAAACTCGTTTTGCATTGAGTTATTTTTATTTTAGAGTATAACATGCATAAAAATATCGGAGTAATTGTTTGTGACGATGATCCAACGTTAGGAGAAGAAGATGGCGTGGGAAGAATGACAATCGACCTTTTTAAGAAACACCAATATGAAAATTGGGAGTATTTTAAAGCTGTGTCAGGACATCTTCCTGATAAATCTAATCTAGAAAGTTATAATGGGTTTATTCTTACAGGATCGTATTGGTCAGTTAATGATCAACATAAGTGGATCGAAGACCTAATGGAGTTTATTAAACTTGTATTTCAGTTCCAGCATTATTCTGATGCAGCACCAAAACTTTTTGGTATATGTTTTGGTCATCAATTAATTAGCAAATCATTAGGAGCAAATGTGATAAAAAACAAGAACGGGAAGTTCATATTATCCCAAGCAGATGTTCAAGTCCTGGACGATCTGCAAAATAAACAATATTATCGTCAAGTTTTTCACGATAAACAATATATTAGTGTTATACAATGTCACGAAGAAGAAGTGATTAATTTACCATCAAACGCAGTTCGCCTTGCCACTTCAAAATATTGTGAGAATGAAATAATTTCTTATGGAGATAAAATTTTAACTATGCAAGGACACATGGATATTTCAGAAGACCTGTTAATAGGGCAATATCTTCCGACACTAAAAGATTCTGGTAAACTTGATGATGATGACGAATCATTTCTTTTTGATAGCTTGAACGGAAAGCCTAACGATTGCTCAAAAATTGTAGAGATGATTCGACAATTTTTAAATTTAGACTAGATAAGTTTACAAATTTTTTAGAGAAGATGTCTACACAAAGACTTTTGTATTGCTTTTTTTATCAAATATTTGCACAATGCTTCGATATGTATGATGATATTTGATTGGCTGCAAAGCATTAAAAATAAATGCCAAGTTAGAATTAAAAACAATGGCTGTCACCATACATTTTAATTAAAACAAGCCTTTTCAATACGCAAGAGATATCTAACTGGCAATTAGGAATTTTTTTTTTTTTATTTCATATTTAGAAGTAGCCTTTTATTCATTTATAGTAGAAGTAGGGTTGTGGCGTATGGTTACTAGGAATAGCATAGAATTGTGGTGCTAAAACTAAAATTAATTTCTACAACGTAAATCATTATGTGATTAAAATGAGGCAAAAAACGAGTTCGTGACGTCATCAAAACCCAAAACTGTTAACCATTGAATACTTTTATTACTTTGTTGTTTACATACTTTATCAACTGCTTAACTTTGTTGTTTACATATCTATTTTATTAACTGTTTTGACTGTGAAGAAGTGGAAAATCGTTTCACTATACTTAGTTCTCTTACAAAAAAAGAAAAATTAATAAAGAACATTCAAACATTTCAGACACGTTCAACGCAAATAGTTTTTAAGACATTAAATATTTTCTAATTTAACAAAAAACTTTCTGGGATGAAATGAATCCTTTGTTTTTTAAAACGTCGCATCTTTGAAAAGAAAATTAACTATAAATGAATCGTAAAATTCCTTTTTATAAAATTTCTCGTTCATCACTTTTGTCTTTTAAAATAAAAATTGCTTTGCAAGTTTCAAAAATTAATGTACGATGAAGAAAAAAAAAACATGTCTTGTGGTTTTCTTATGTTGTTTATAAGGTCAACATACCTCGGGTGCTAAAAAGCATACAACATAAAAAAAAGTAAAAAAACGAGTAACAAAATCAAGGTTTAAAATGCTCAGTTTTTTTTAAATAGAATTAAGAATAAAAATCTATATGTTTCCTTTTATGGAAATCATTAATAACACAGGTCAAAAAAGGAGAGTTGTTTCATCTTCTTTTGACAATAAAACGATATGTTTTATGCTGTATTTTTTCTTTTATTTCTAAACACGCATTCCTTCTATCGCATTATATTTCATAGGCATTTGGGCTCACTCTATATATATATATATATATATATATATATATATATATATATATATATAATATATATATATATATATATATATATATATACTCTCAAGTATATATATATATATCTATATATATATATATATATATATATATATATATATATATATATATATATATATATTTATATATATATATATATATATATAATATATATATATATATATATATATATATATATATATATATATATATATATATATATATATATATATATATATATTATATA